TCCTGGGCCCTGGCCCGTGTGGCTCGGCTGCTGGGGCGCAGCTGAAAGGCTGAGGGTCCGATTCCCGGCCAGACACACCCCTGGACTCCAGGCGGCACCACCCCTGGTCTCAGTGCACACGGAGGGGGGGGCAACCGATCGATGGTTCTCGCTTGCATCAGTGTTTCTCTCCCCCTCCCTCCCTGTCTAAAAGCAATGGAAAAAGATCCTCAGGCGAGGATTTTAAAAAGGTGTGCAGGGAGCTGAGCTGGCTGGCACGGGGTCACTGTTCCCACAGGAGACGCAGCGCGACCTGCTGGGGAAACCGCCCCCTCTGGAGGCAGGCCTGGCCCCTGGGACAAACGTGTCTGCTCTGTGTCCTTCCACGTGCTCGTCCCATCCCACCTCAGGGACAGAACAGGCGAGGTGGCCTGTCCGCTCCCAAGACCACCCAGATGCCAGTGGGAACACGCTGTAGGGTTGGCACCTCCAACCCCGCCGGTGGACTCTGGCTGCATCCTGAGGCCAGGGCAGTTCCAGGACACACACCAGCCAGGACAAAGCTCTGGGGGCAGCCAAGGGAGAAAAGACCTCTTCCAGAAACCTCCCAGTATGGCCTCCCCTCACAGCACACTGGGCAGAAATGAATCACGTTCTCAAACTAATGACTGGGAAGAGGAACAGGACAACCAGGACCACCCAGGACAGCGGGCTGCTGGGCAGTGGCCCGGGATGGGGGGGGTGTTGACGGCCCCCCGGGGTGCTGCTCAGGAGCACAGCTCTATCTGGGAGGCTCAGGAGTGTGGGTTTCTTGCTCGTCTACAGCTCCCTCATGCCCCGCGAACCCGAATCTGTGTGGCTGGGATTTTTAACACGAGGATTCAGCTTTGTGACTCGGCAGGTTATGACCGTGCTGGAGCCTGCGTGTCTGACAGGCTCATCTCATGTTTCTACACCACGTTCCCATGCTTCGCTGTCCCAGGGCCAGCACCCCCAAGGGCCCCGTGAGCGCCTCAGCCCTCGGAAGCCGCGGCTGTGGCCATGCACTCCCGGGCGCTGCCAGCAGAGCGCGGACCCCCATCGCCAGGTGTCCTCTCTGCGCCTCAGGGACACGCCCGTGGGGAAAGGGCCACCTGGGCCTCTGCCGGCACGTGCCCACAGCGGCCGCGGAGGACGGTGTGCGAGGGTCGCGACCGGCTGCGTGCGCCCGCCCAGCACCGCCCCGGCATGTGCGGCGTGGCAAACGCAGGCACCGGGCGCTGAACTCTGACGACGCAGGCAGGAGCAGCGGCACGCGGGCAACACTCTTTCACCTGCAGCATGTGCGACTGTTTCTGTCACCCAGCACTGCAGAGTGACAACGCGCCGATGGAGCCGACTGCTGCCTGCCTCCCGAGAGGACTCCAGGAGGCAGCGGTTTCGGGCACTTCGCAGCTCCATTTGCTGGGGACCTGACGCCTGTCATCGCGAACCTGTCCCCACCCCACCCCGACACTGGGACCCTCTGCCAAACGTGGTCCCTCAAAGCACATGCAGCTCCCTCAGATAGCGGGTTAGAGCCGGGCCCCTCCCGTCTGGGCAAGCTCATCTGTCAATCCAGCCCCGGGCACCTGGAGGCGCCCCCACCGCCCAGAGACAGCCCCCACTGCAGGTGGTGCTGTGGGGGTTATCTGCGTGGACACTTACAGGGGCGTCACCCTCCAGGAAGTGTGGCGCGTCCCCTGAGTTACAACAACAACAAGCCATGCTGAGCTGTCAAGAAACAAAACAAATATCACCTGTCATTTGGATGAGTCACGGTTCTTTCAGCTTGAAAGTTAAACTGAAAAACACAGCGCCCCATGAGAGCACACGCTCAGGCCAGCACAGCACTGCGGGGCAGCCAGCCTGGGTCGGGGGGTCCCTGCACTTCGTAAAGGCACAGTCACAAAACAGGAGCTGGCCTGCAGCTCTGTGGGGACTCCCTCTGGGGCCGCCTGGAGGGGAGAGGGTAGGAGGGGCAGAGCCTCTGTTTTAAGGAGGGTGGCTGAACTGCCCTGCTGCCTTCCTCCAGGAAGGCCCCCTGCCCTCCGCGCTCCTCCCCGTCCCTCCTCCAAAGCCCTCTCCCACCCTCGGGCGCTTTCTTCCTTTCCGCCATGCGCGCCCCGGCCTGCTCCCCACTGTACAGCTCTTTCTTCTTTGGAGAACCAGACTCCAGTGGGCTGACTCCTTGCACGCTGCCTCCACCACCAAGGTGTGCCTGCTCCCTGAAACGCACCGGCCAGCATCTCTGTGTGATGGTGACGAGAAAACGCGGCCTGGCAGGAGCCCGCTGTGCTCACGGAACCGCTCACAGCACAGCACCCTCAGCTCACGCAGGCCTATCACACACTCTCGGTTATTTGCGGAGGGCCCTAATCATGTAACAGAGAGGAGGGAACGGAGGAAGCCAGTCACCAAAGCCGGGGTCACTGGTTGCGAAAACCAGCCCCGGGCTCTGGGTGGCGCGCCAGGGTGACTTCACACTCCATCCAACCCAGAAACGCAGGTTCTCCGGGGAACGACCAGGGACCGCGTGAGGAGCCTTTCAAACCTGTGTGCACCCCTCACTCTCTCAGCAAATGCCTCCAAGAAGCCGACTCTGTCCCTGGGACTGTGCTCTGCGGACTGCTGGAAGGCTGTGAGGACTCAGTCCGCGCCCCGCAGGGCCCAGATGGGTCCTGGGAGGAGGGCGAGCATAACGCGAACTGTCACTCACGTTTGCCCTCTGCCCTATTTCAGAAACTTGCGGAAGTGTAAGCGTTTGGTCTGGTGTATAGTGTCTTTTCTTTCTCTTTTTTAATACCCTGTCGGAATGAGTGCCCTCCCAGAATGTGAAGCGCTGGGCCCTTCGTTCTGCTCGGCCTCAGGCGTGTGGGAGCAGCTGCGACGCTGTGGCCCACCGCTCGCCCCTGAACAGGGCAGTCTTGCTCAGCAGAGACACCACCAAAGTGAGATTTGAAAACATTCACTAGGCTGTCTAGTTTGATGACTTACTTTAAAAAATTTGATGAAGAAAATATTTTTTACAAAAAAAAATTGGTTTTAGAGATCCAGGAAGAGAGGAAAAGGAGGGCAGGGAGGGAGAGTGGGGAGAGGAAACGAGGGAGGGAGGGAGGGAGAAACATCAATTTCTTGTTCCACTTACTGATGCATCCAGTGGTTTCTTGTGCCCTGCCCAGGGATCGGACCCACAACCTTGCGTATCAGGGCGATGCTCTAACCAACTAAGCTGCCCAGCCAGACTATGAGGATACTAATATTCTGAACACATGCACAAATAACAGAAGCAGTAGAATAAACCACAGAACTTGGGAGAAAAAAAACTGCCATGTGTGTTCACCACAGCACTGGCATTAACACCGCATTTAGTGTCCTCAGGCCCTGCGTCTGGCGCGGTGGGATCTGTGACCACATTGCCTGCATTGCCCTCTGCAAAGACGGGGTGCTGACTCTCCTGCCGATGATGACACAGCCTAAGCGAAGATCAGCCTAAGTGAAGAAACTGCCTAACTGGGTTCTCAGAATAAACACGGTTCAACCAGCTTTACAGATTTAAGGTGATAAGTTTTAAGAAGAGCGTTTCCCACTGATTACTATGTCTTTCCCGCTAAAAGTGGGCACTACGCCCAAAACTCTGGGACAGAAGTTATGGCTCTGAGACGCCACAGTTCTGTATCGAATTACATTTGTTTCCAGTCTTTCAGAAATGTTTCGTGCGTCTTTTGCAGCCAAGGACTTTAACGTTCATCTTAAAAATCCCTCCTGTTTACTCAGTCTCTCCCTGCTCTTTTCCCAAAAGGATTTATCCTGCCTCTGCTCTAACACAGCCAACTGAGTTCCACCCGCCCCCTCCCCGTCCCCCCCCCCCCCCCCCCCGCCGCGATCTCCAGGAGCAGCGCAGTAAGTAGCTCAGAAGCACCTCCCACTGTGAATAATTAGCCTGCTAGATGGGACGCAAATCACCAAGCAAGACAGAGGGGGCGAGGATGCAGCAAGTCAGGAAGACGCCTAGGACCAGGGACACAGCGACAGGTGCCACCCATCACCAGCTGTCCACTAAGGCCCCGGTGCTGGGCTGGCTCAACACGCTGTGCCCAAGAGGCTAAGTCACAGCCACCAGCACAACCAGACGTCTGGTGTCCAGGGCTCTTCACATGTCAGGGGTCCCAGACAACCTCCCCCGCGAATCCGCGGCTCAGCCTGAAACGCGGCCCCGTCTGCTCTTTGGCCTCGTTTGTCTTTCCCACGACCAACCAGAAAGCACTCGTAACGAGCTCTAGGGCTCTACAATCTACAACGGACCTGCACATGCGCCGTGTCATTTTAAGCTTCTTTGAGCCACTGCCAGCCTCTCCTGGGAGGAACCAGGTGCTCCTCCCTCTCACCCGAGCAGCAGGTGCCGGTCGCCTGTGGTGACTCTGCTGTCCCTGCCCCCCTGCCCTTTGTCTCTGTGTGTCAGCGTCCTGGCCCCAAGGAATCCCAGCCGCACTCTCTCCTACCTCCCTGGCCTCCCGGGAACAAGGCACAGACAGTGAGGGCCCCCTTTAAGTCCAGGTGACGGGGTAGAGGCTGAAGAATCCACAGTTCACTCACTGTCCTCCCACCAGGCCTGGCCTGCAGCAGAGAGCCTCCCCTCCCCGCCCCCTCGTGCCAGGACGGACACCGGTCCCTCCAGGGCCCAGGGCGCAGCCCGACTTGCTCACAAATGAAGGCCACCGGGTTCTTCACCTCTGCCCGTGGACACTTTATTCAGACCGCAGAACGACAACCGCTGGCACAGCCGGCACGCTCGGCTCGAGCGGCCACGGGCACGTTACAAGCAAGGGCCACGCAGGCACAGCGCCAGAGGACGCCCGTTCCTGCAGCAGGAGCCCCGTCCTGAACGGGACTACCGTCACAGTGTTCCAGCACGCACGCCGTACACCCCGAGGGGGCGGGGCGGGGGCAGACGGAGGACGCAGCAGCATTGGAAGCTTAACGTAACCTTTTCACACACTGACCTTCTGGGCTTTTCTTCTCTTGGATCCCTCCTCAGGTCTGCTGAGGTCTGTCTGGCCTGCGCACGGGCCTGCCCAGTCATCATGCCTGGTGGGTTGGTCTTCAACACCTACGGCCCAAGTGGACAGAAGATGAGTTAGCACTTTCCATGGACTGAATATTAACGCAGCTTAAGTAAACTGAAATTTCCAAATTTATTTATGCACAGCAGTCGTGTGAAAGTAAAGTCCTCTTACACTAGCACCACATACCTCTTGCTCCCCGGGGTCTGCTCGGAACTTTCAGTTTATTCCACTCTGACATTCCATGCGATTCACCCAACTCAAGGGTGGGAAGCCACTGAGCCTGTCGTGTGACACTGTGCTGCTCCAGCATCCCGCCTGTCCACCCAACAATGAGAACGTCTGCCTGACTCCCAGGCACGACTCAAACCCCAATTCTTTGATCTTTACGTAACGATCAAACCCCAGCTCCACCGAGAAGGCGGTCCTGTAGCAGAGGGCATGTGTCAGCTTAGCTGTGGGCCAAGTGTGAGTTATTCCAGAAAACAGTCTTCAGTACAAACTTCTCAATCTGCAAGGGAGAAATGGAGATTCCACTCCCTGCAAATGTCCACCTCAGACCAGCATCCTCCCATGAAGACGCACCAACGACGAGGACGTTCACCAAGTACAGCGCGGCCGCATTAGCTGCTAGCACGGGAGAACCTACCACCCAGTGAGAAACGTTCCCTTTCCATGGGCTCCTTGTTCTCACCTTGCCCTCCCAAAGCAGCCGGCCTGCTCCCTGAGTTAGCTGTTACTTTGAAAGAGGACTATGTATGCCAGCCACCACCTGTCCGGTCTCAGGGGCAATGCACAGAGCAGCTGCAAGGACACCTGCGTCCTGGCCACAGCCACGCACGGGGCCGCTGTCCAACACCCACCTGCAACGTCACCACACTCCACCGTCGACCTGCTCACCCACAGCATCTCACGAGCGGGCGGCCCATGGCAGCACCCGCCCCACCACAGGCAGCTCATGACCCAGCGCACAACGCAGACGTAGGTAAGCGAATACACGGCAAAAATAACTTAAGCACCACCAGAAAGTAAATGACTGCTTTGCAGATATTTCAAATAAAATAGGATGCTTTAATAAAAGATATAATTAAGCCAGGAGGGTCAGACTTGAAAGTCTTAGCTCTGCTTTCAAAGTCAGCGTCCTGGAGAGGCGGAGACAAAAATCAGAGCGATGTTTACGTTCTTTCCTGAACTCAAACTAGTTGTTATTGGCAACCTGGGCCCTAAAACCGCCAGGTTCTGAGCCCCTATAAACCCTCCCCTTGGGTCCCCTGGGAGCCACAGACAGAACCTGTGCTGACCCCCCATCTCCTCTGCAAGCCTTTCTATTTGCCTGTCACTCTCGTCCCTCCCCATCCTGCCTCCCCCTGGGTGACTACAGATCCCGTGGTACCGCAGCCGCTGGCTGGAATCCTCGCTTGGCGCCAGCGTGAAAGGGTGTATTCCGCGTGGGACGGGCTGGTCTAAGGTCCAGCTATGCTCAGCTCCTCGCACTTGTCCTCACTTTGAGAGAACGTCACCAATGCATCCTCTGCCTATGCTTTACTCTCCACTACATTCGATCACTTTTTGAGAGCCCTAACCCTCGGCCAGGCCGTGATGAAATATGGTTTTCATCTTTACGATCAAAGATTGAAAGCAACTGGTCTATATTGAATGAAGTTTTGCTACTGGCAGAAGCATAAGAAACTCATTTTCAATTTGTCTCTTCCTGCACGCTCTACTTCCCTGCTCCCAAGACACAGGATTAAGACAAATAACACTAGGAATAATGATGCACTTAAGCAATTAACACTTATTCGTATGAGACCCTCTGATCGACCAGCTACATCAAGGACCAAAAAGGCTTCTGAAGACTGACTTAAGAATTCGTAAGTTTAACATACAAAAGCATAAGCGAAATGTTAACATTACCCCAATGGGATGTTTCTTCTGAGACTTTAAAATCTGAGTGAAGTATTTAAGAATAATGCAGAACACAGAATCTCAAAACTATGAAAACACACACTCCTGGGATTTAGGGTACACGCAAGATACAAATTCTATACAAGCAAAACTCAGCTACTATTCACTTGATAAAATGGTGTTCACTTTGTCAACCAAGAGCACAAAAATGAAATCTAATTGAGATCTTCAGAAGATGTGGAACTGTCTCCTTCATAATCATCGGGCAGATCACTGAAATACAGGGTTTAAAGTCGTGCACTGGTTTTAGTTCTACATAGTCTTTCGCACTGGGAGCCAACTCCCGTCTGGGAATTCCCCCGAACTGGAGCGTGGGCCTCCTTGACCCCCTCTGCCCGCCCTGCCTGAGCTCCCCCGGGGAGAGGGGCAGCTCCGCCCCGCCTTCTCACCCTCTCCCCTAGTTCAACCCAGTACCTTGAACGCAAGGGCAAAGGAGACAAAGGATTAGTGACAAAAGACCATGGGAATGAATAAAGCTATCAGTCCATGGTTAGAACACCTTCCCCGTAGTCGGCCTTCTTCCCACAAGGCTGAGGAAGCTGGTCAGGCCGTTAGGACTGCTCACCTGCCGTGAACAGTGGGGGCGGGAGGGGCAGAGCCTGGGAAGGGGGCTGAGAAATGCTTTCCGAACACACTTGTGCGTCCTGTGAACTGCCAGCAAGCGCAGTGGTTACCGTTCAGTTTGACACAGCTAAGGGAGACGCCCACACGTAGACCTGCTTGTTTGGTATGATAGTGACTCACCCTGTCTCTTAAAGAAATTCTCACAGTATGTAGAACATTCTACATGCAACAACATGTAAGTGCCTAGGATTGGATGGGTTTAGTTCTTATAAAACATACATAAAATACTTACAATTAATTTACTTTCAAAAATGGCCTACTTCCCACGAATTCAGTGCGATGAGTCAGGTACATCCCTAAGTTTACCAGACATTCTCATGGGGCTGGAAAACAAACCTGAAATTACAAAAGCAACTCTCTGCCTCAGCACTGTGAGTGGCGCTCATACCGAAGCACACGGCGCGGTTACTGCCGTGTGCCCACCGGAACCCCGTCACCTGAGCGCAGTCATAATCCAGACGAGCTGCAGCGCCCTGCCTGTCGCTTCCCTGAGCGGGCCCTGCTGCCGGGCCGCCCCTCCTGCGCGCCAGGAGACAGCCTCCCGCCCGCCGGCCCAGCGCTGCAGCGACCACCAGGCGCCGGGGGTCCGCACACACTCCACGTGTCCCCCCACAGGACTGTGCACTGAGACAGACACGGTGTGCAGGCCGCGGGACGCGGTGCAGACCGCAGGACAGGAGGGGTGAGTGCTGGCGCGCCTCCTGCCTCCCTCAATGAAAGCCGCCGCCGCAGGCAGGGCCAGCTGCTGGCACGACAGACACCCCTCTCCCCTTCCCCGTGGAGACGACGCCTGTCGGCCCGGAGGCCCTGCAGCAGACGCCCACTGGTCGGCAAAACCGGCAAAAGAAAGGAGCTGTAACCGGCAGCCGCATGTGCTGGTCAGTCAGCACATGCGGCTGCCCAGAAATGCTTCTCTGTTAAATTCAGGGATCCAAATAAAATTGGATTGGTTAAAATTTTAAAGCCCATCCCCCAATCCCATGCGTGAAAATCGACAGTGAGCCATGGCGGGTCTCCCCGAGGGTGACATCGGAGCTTGGTCCCTCCTTGGCCGGGGAAGAACTGCGGGGTCAAAGGGTATCTGGTGCTCTGTGGCAAGAGCTGGTTTCAGAGAAACGTGGCCCCAGGGGCCCCTTCCCATCACAGACAGGCTGCGACCTGAGGACAAGACCTGGATGTCAGCCTGCAGGCCAGCTCTGGGGACAGCTGCCAGGAGTAACTGCGTGCGTAAGATCCGGCGGACGAGCCAGCGGGAGAGGGCTGTCACCCTGACGCAGCTGACTGTTCTCCACGAAACAAGAGCCTAGCAGCCGGGCACGGGCGCACGGTTTAGACATGGCACCCATGTGCTCTGCCATGCAAAACCCCAGCGCCCACAGTATCTGGGGGCGGGGGCGGGGGTGCAGGGGCCCACGCGCTGTGCGGACTCAGGATGACCCTTCAGCTTTCTGGGCTTGGCCATTAAAACCGACCTCAGGGGGTGGACTGGAGCCGTGGCCAGCAGTGCCTAATGCCGCACTCACTCACAGGCCCTGCGCCCCCCGTGCTGGAACCCGACCTTTTTCAGAGGGTGCGTGTGCCCCACCCTGGCATCTGCCATCTCCCTGGAAACCAGGGGGCACCTGGGACACGGAAGGGCACAGCAAGCAAACAGCTGTGACGTGCACTTATGAAAGGAGGTAAGAAGAGAGGGATAAGCACACATTCCTCTTTTTAGCAATTTTTGTCACAGTAAGCATGTGTTGGTGTACTGTTTATAAAATTAGAGAATAAAGGTTTAAAAAGAAAAATAACAATTTCAAAGATTACAACTTAAACAAAACCAGAGCGGAAGCTTTCCCCTCTGTGCCATTGGGGTGACACCCATCACTGGCTCGCTCTCACCTGCTGCTGAGCCTGCCCACGCCGGCCGCAGCCGCCGACCAGGGCAGCGCGGACAGCACACAGGGCACAAAGTCCCCCAGCGCAGGGGCCTGGGGAGGCACGGCGAGGAGCGCAGCGGCCCCGCCACCCACCACTCGGCCCGTGGCGCCCGCACAGACTGCAGGCCGCGCATGGCGGCCGGCGACTCTCGCAGGGAGGTGGGGCCCCACCGGGCTGTCCACGGCCAGTCCCCTGCACAACAAAATGAGGGCACGTTTAGACTAACAATATGCAGGTCTCTTCGGTCCTCTGGGATGACAGGGGACGCCAGAAGACCCGCTCCTACCGAGCACAGACCACGCCCGTTTCTGGCTCTGAGTCCCAGCCCACCACACCAGGCCCGCCCGTGCCCGCCGTGTGACATGCCCACCTCCACTGCTGAGGCCAGCGTCTCCCAGGAGGCCCTGCGTTGCCCTGCCGCCTCCTATGGTCCCGCCGCAGGGCGCCGTGGCCACGGGGGTCCATCCCAGACATGCCCCGAGCTTGGTCCAGGGCAGCCGGGCAGCCATGCTCTCCCGTGACACCGCCGGGGCTCCAGGGTACACCCCCTGCCCGGAACCAGCCTTCCTTCCGCTGACCTTACGTCTGCACACCGTCGGTGTCCCAGGCCTCACAGCCACACGCGGGGCGCACGGAGGCTGAGGGCGGGAGCTCCGAGGACGGAGTCCGCTTCACCCCCCCAGGCCCTTCTGCACAGCGGGTGTTCTACGGTAACTCGGAGTGGACGCAATCTTAGAATAAGCATTTTGGAAACACATGCTAAGCCTAAGAGAATGCAAAATTCAGTTTGTCAAATTTTATATATTTTCAAAAAACTAAGATATAAAAGCTCCATTAAAAATACACGACCTTCTTTTTGTGAGGTGAATTTGGGGCGTTTAATTATACCCAAGGGAAAGATAGGCAATACACCTGTGATTATTTGAACACCCGTTAACATTTCCATCTCGAAAAGCGTGGTTAAAACCATGGGGGGGGGGGGGAAGAAATGATGAAAAAATAAAATTGGCCTTAGTGAAAAATCAGCCCCATCTTGAGGTAAAGATGGTTAAAGTTCAAGATTTTTGCATTTTGATTGCTGAAACCTATTTGTGCTTAAAATCAGAAAGTGCAAAATGTTTTCAAATGTTGCCACTGTTGCTACAATTACAATTACACAGTTCATTAACATGGTTACAATTAAATTGCAGACTGAATAAATCTATTTAAATGATACCGCTTAAAGCAAAATAAATAAAAGTCAAACAAGGCCCGTTACAATGAACTTCTCCCCTAAGGACAAACGCTAAATATTCCTTCATAGCTAACAATGCCCCTCGTTTCTTCAGAACAAACATTAATGACACACCGCCACCCACCTGTTCAGACGTCCCCTCCTCTGGGTGGAGTCAGCGGCCTGTGCCGCCCTAATCTCCCTTCCGCAAGGAAAGGCCTCGCTGGGAGGCGCGCCCTGCTAAACGCTCCCATCGCGCAGTCCGCCCCCAGCCGGCAACCGCGCCCGGCGAGGCCGCCCCGGGACGTGGGGAGCGCGCGCCACCTGGCACGCGCGCCGGCGGGCACCGGTCTCGCCCACGAGAGCGGAGGCCCGCAGAAATGTATCCGCAACGCTCGACATTCCACAGGGCATTGAGCCATCTCTCTCAAGAATGATTTATTGGAAAGTATCGAGCCCGCATTCCTTAAAACTTAAAAACAGTGTTTCAAACTATGAAAACTTCGCGGTCAATGGGAAGGACGGGCGCGCCATCACAGGTTCCTGTCACAGACACTTGAGGGCTCGGGTCTCTCGCTACGCCCTCCCGCCAGGTCTTCCCGAGATCCCTCCACACGTCAGTCACCTACAAACTGAGCTTATAACCGCTTTGAGATTCACCTTCGGAGGAATTCAACATTCCGGAAGCGCGATCTCCTTCCTGCACCCCTTTGACGCCGACCGCTTCCTCGGTTTCTCCGTCGCTTCCGCCCGCGGGAGCCAAGCCACCGCGAGGCGCGCCCGGGCGTGCGCGTGCGCGGTCAGCGCAGGAAGGGCGACCTCCGTCGGGGCCCACGCCTTCTCCTGTCTGAGCGTCAGGCTCTCGGAGACGCCCTGCGGCTCCCTCCGCAGTCTTAGGCGCCACACCACCCAAAGGGGCACTCAAGGCACCACTTCCAGGTTTCTGAAGACGGGAGCTCGTTTTTGCTGAGGGGCTGGTGGGGTCTGACGGGAGGCTCTTGCCGATGCAGGAGAAGTCGGCCATTTCTAAGATGCTTGTCCTTTCCCTCTTAGAAAGGCCGGCTGGGCGGCCGAACTGGGCAGGGCTGCGAAGCGACAGACATCGCGGAGGAAGGGTCTCCGAGTCCCTTTCCCTGAGGTTTTCGGGGGAAAAGTAATCCTCGTAGGAGGCCGCCCCACGGTCAGGAGTCTCGCCCACAGGCCTGGCCGCCAGCGGCGGGCTCCGGCCCGGCGTGAAGAGCCGCGCTCTGGACACGGTGGACTTCCGGCTGCACTTTTTCTTCTTTTGACTCTCTTCGGGAGGTGAATCGAGGCGCTGGGATGGTCTTTTTCTCTTTGCTGAGGAACCCCCGGGTCGTGAGTGTCCCAAACCGTGGGCTTTTGTTGCAGGTGACGCAGGAGACAAACTACACTTCCCACTGAACTTCTGCAACATTCCGTCAGGGGCAACGGCGGCACCCGCAGGGTCTGTCTGGCCGCTCCGCTCTCCCTCTGGAAGAGGACGCGCAGGCTGCTGAGGAGCTGACTGGCTGGGGCGCGGGGGAGAGGCCGATGAAGGGACGCTGCTGGTTCTCAGTGTGGGTGAGGAAACACACCCATCGCTCCGAGTGTCCCCGACACATCCTCCCAGTTGCCTTTCCGGGCTTCCACATCCTGAGCTTCCACAGAGGTCATCAAAAGACAACTGTAGGCCACCAGCAAAGGAGTCATCTGGAAAACATTAATAAAGAATTAACTTTTGAAAAGCAACTTGGAGTGAGCATTGTTATTCGTGAAGAAGAGCCGATCCCAGGGATGACTGGGGTGGCATGTGAGGGTGCCGCTGGCCCGCCCACCACATGCTCCACGCAGTCACCGCACACGCTGACAAACCACTGCTCTGCGGCTCTCACCATGCCCTGTGCTGACGTTTAGACCTCAAGCAGGTTAGTTCCCACAAGAGTACGTGTTTTTAAGTGAGCAACTGATTCTGTGCCAAGAAAGCAAATGCCCAAGAGAAAAACCACAGGTACTATGTGATTTCTCATGTCTTAATTTTACTACAATACCTATTTTTTATTACAATACCTAATTGGAGAGTAGAATTCATGAATTCTAGTTTCTAACTAACTACTCTTCTCACCAGATGAATTTCCAAGTAAGAAAATCATAATATTTTTAAACCTTAAATATATCACAGAAAATAATTTACCTGAACACAAAGTATCATGTGAAATGTTCAAAGACGCTTCGCACAAAGAGTTAACTGGGTTCTCGTAAGACTTTTCAATCATCTGGGAAGCTGAAAACAAGCAGAGCATTCCATGAGCCACGACTTCGGTATCTTTTTCAGATGAAGCCACGGAACACCGGCGCATCTACTCTTTCTGCACACAGATTACGCCCTGCACTTCCAGACGTGCCGCAACATAAGCACCAAAAACTTACTCAGACTTATCACAGACGATGAAAATCATAAAAAATAACCTACATAACTCACATCATCAAAAAGGATTAAGTCACTGGGTAAGTGCAGTTAGGAGGGACCGTGGGAAGGCGGCCTGCGGAAGTCCAACCAAGGCAAACAAGAGCGTTCAGCTAGTCAGGTGGCTGGGCACACGGGCTTCTTCTTTGAGGACATGCAGCAGCGAACTCCCCACCGGCCACGGTGTAGCTCACACCGGCCAACGGGGCTGCCAGCAGCCCTCCGCTAAGGCTGGCGCGCGGCACCCGACGGCACAGGCTGGGGCCGGGGTGGGGATGCGGGCTATGCTGCTGGCATCTAACAGGTAAAGGAAGGAAGGCCCCCCCCACCGCCGCCACAATCCGGACACCTGGGCACGCAATGTTCGTGTCGTATTCTGTGACGAGCACTTACAGGTAGGGGAGAGGTTTTCCCGTTTCTCCCTCATCTCCTGCAGCCTCTTTTCCATGGCATGGTGACGACCGCGGTGCATCGTGATGGTGGGGCTGTAGGTCAACGACCCACTGGACTCAAATACGAGCACAGGGACATCATTATCTGAAAGCAAGCAAAAATCCAATTTGAAGCTCAAAAAAATGCCTTCCTACTCCAACAAATGGATTCCTTTTAAGGAACATCCCCGCCTGCCCTGTCCTCCCCATCCCTTTCCCTTCCCGGCAATACCTACAGACACCAGGGAGCCCCTCCTCCACTCCCTCCGCCATCAGCGTCACCAATGCTTCCCCTCCTCCACCAGGGCCGTGGCCTCTACAACTGCCAGCTGACACTTGCTAAGAAAGGGCCACATGCCAAGCACTTGCTAAGCAAGTGTCTCCTTCAACTTTTCCCCAAACCCACGGCATCAGGACCAGAGTCCCCGGGTAAAGACAAAGACACTGAGATGCAGGAGCAGCTCACTTAGTCAGGAACTAGTGAGGAGGTACAGTGGGCTGAAATCTGGCTCCCACATGCCTCCCGTTTGGCATGAGCTACAGGCAATCTCCCAACAGCAAGTGCAGGAGGGGCACACTGCCCCCCTTCCCGCAGAAGATGAGGTGCCCTCTGTCCTGCAGAGAACGAGATGCCCGTACCACCTGGGATGGGGGGCCAAGGCAGAGACACTGCTGCACAAACAGACTGTGTTAAACGACTGGTTGCTGCCCCTCTTTCAGCCACTTTCCCACACCTGCCTCTTTTTTCAGCCCAGCACATAAGTACTTGGGTTCTGCCAGTTCTGTGGGTCTTCATCTCCTCATGAGGGTGCCTGTGCCCCAAAAACCCTGTATCATCTGTCTGTTGTTACAGAGCCCCAGCAAAGAACCTAAGGTGGGTTAAAAAATTTTTTTTGCCAATCCCATTGAGACTTTGGTTTATACCATGGGTTTCAGAGACCGCCGCCACCGGCAGACACTTTGCAGACCCATACGGGGACTTTGGGGTCAGCGGGGTCCTCAAGCCATACAACAAGGGGCTACACTGCATGTGACTCACAGCTGTGTGTCTCTGTGAAACCCAGGATTCAAACGTGTTCAGAGAGAACATGACGACTCTGACAGCCCTACCCCCAGTGAAAGACCAAGGGCCCCCCACTACCCGCATCTTTGTAGTTCACAGGCCCAAACACCTCCTGCACTTCTAACAATATGCAGATGTACATCAGTTGTATCTTTAAAACCTTCCATTATCACTTTGTAAAAGGCAATTTCTATTATAAATTTGGTCCAGAAAGAGAAAACTTTGTGTCTATCGTTGCTATTTTGCCAAACTCTTTTCAAACACACCCTCCTCTTGGACACGGGAAAGGTGGCCCAGTGGGAAAGGACAGAGGGAGCCTGGAGCCCGGGCGGAGCCCGGGCGGCGCCAGCTGGGGGGCGGGGGGCGGCCAGCGCACAGAGGACGCCGTGGGGCGCGGGACACTGGAAATGCAGGGTCTTGTCCTGTGTACCCCTTCCTCAGCGCTGTCCCCTGATGGGTCATTAGGACCCCGTGCCCAGTCAAGGAGTGGCTACAGGGTTCAGTGCAGGTGACGCAGGCTCAGGAGGAGAGAGACGAGGAGGAGTGATCACTGCAGAAGCAGGGACTAAGGGTCCTGGGGGGAATTGCATCTGGGAGGGAAGAAACCTCGAGGGGAGCTCCACGTGCCTGGCTGGAGCACAGGTGCCATTGGACGACTGGTGGGGGTTTGTCAGAGAGGGGCCCACACAGCACAGAGGGCGTCTCGGGGAGAGACCTGGTTGCCAGGCAATAAGAATGAGCACCGAAACAACAATGGCAACGTTTTGGAAAACCCCCTGGAAGCACAGTGCAGGCAGGCAGGTGTCTATCGCGCCCCCAACAGACGCGAGTGCTGCTCGGTGACACCATGCACGCAATTTCAAAATACAGAGCAGAGAGCCTGCGACACAGAAATACAGACAGAAACAGAGAAGCCTCACATGTCTCCCATGAGGTGTTGGGATTGATCTGAAATCCTGAATTCAGAGGACAGGGAAACGGCCGAGAGAGAGAAAAACCGGAGACACGGACTGCACTTTAGAGTGTCAGGACGTCCTAAAGTGTTTTCCACGCTGCATTTCTCTGCTCACCTGGAGTTGCTTTCCGCCTTTATAGTTCATTAGCCATTAAAAGAATATATCTAGTTAAAAAAAAAAAAAAGACTACGAAATGGACAGAGAATCTGAATAGCCATTTTTCCAAAGAACACATACAGATGGCCAAGAGGTACAGGAGAAGATGCTCAATACTACACTTTACCAGGGAAACACAAATCCAAAGCACAACACGCAATCGCCACACACCTGTCGCAACGGCCAGTCATGAAACAGACAAGAGATAACAGGTGCTGGGGAGAAAGTGGAGGAAAGGGACCCTGAGGCTGTGTGGGTGGGGATGTGAAGACTGCAGCTACTATGTGAAACAGGATGAAGATTCCTCAGAAAACTAAAAATAGAACTGCCATACGATCCAGCAACTTCTTGTCTGGGTATTCACCCAAAGAAAACGAAAATACTACTTCAAAACGATATCTGCACCCCATGCTGACTGCACCATCAATTACACTGGTTAACACATGGAAATAATCTAAACGTGCATCCACGGATGGAGGAATAAAGAGGTGACGGCACATACCTAATGGACTATGACTCAGCCAGAGGGAGGAAGGACGTCCTGCCAATCGGGGCAGCGTGGACGGACCCTGAGGGCACTAGTGAGGGCAGTCAGACAGGGAGAGGGCGGACACCCTGTGGGCTTCCTTACATGTGGAATGTTAAAAACAAAAACAAGACAACAAAAATAAACAACCCCCGAATTCACAGATACAGAGGTCAGACTGGTGGTTGGAGGGGGTGGGGGGCTGAGGGGCATGAAATGGGTGAGGGGGTCAAAAGGTACAAACTTCCAGTAATAAAACAGGTAGGCCGAGGAGATGCCATGCACAACCAGGGAGCTGCAGTTAGCAACAGTGAACATCTGAAATTTGCTAAGAGCACATCTTAGAGGAACCCCCTAGAAAAGGGAAAAAAATTGTAACTACGTATGGTGAAGGATGTTAACAATGTATACAAATGTTGATTCATTCTGTTGTGTACCTGAAACTAGCAATGTTATATGCCAATTACACTTCAACATACACACACACACACTCTGTGATCAATTAGCGGGACTGTATAGTCCTGTGAGGTTCACTGTCAAGTGTGCAGGTGACCTGTGGTCTGTTTTCTTCATCCCAGGCTGGAACCACTGTGGCCCCCGAGCTATGCCATCCTGGGAGCCACCGGTCCCCGGTCCCCAGAGAGGCTGAACTGGACGTGCAGACACAAACACCAAAGACCACACTCCATTTCTCTGCTTACCGAGAGTTGTTTTTTGCCTTTGTAGCTCATTAGCCATTTTCTGAAATTTCTTTTGAAGTCTCTTATCATTTTCTGGTGTTTTAGGAATAAAATCTTTGGGCTGCATGCACTTGTGCTGTACAGAAAAAAGAACATAACAATAACACAGAGAACTGCAATTGTGCCAGACAGGAAACGGGCCCTTTCGTGTACATTTTCGATACTTTCTATAACACTAACAAAACCTTCCTAAAGAGGTTTTTTTTTACACCTGTGTGAGCTTATACAAATGCTAAAATATGAACAGAACTTTGAGATTGAATAAAGGGCTGACTGTACAAGTAGCTACGTTTTCGAGACATTTTCAGTAAACCAGCATTCTTACTTTCCATGAAAGTTCTTAAAATCAGCCTTTTTTCTTAACTTTTGCTACTTTCATGTTATCTCCTTGCCCCACAAAAAAATCACGATAGTAATAAAACAAAAGCAATTATTTTATCGCTACCAACGGAAAAAGCCATTATTTAATCTTGCCTTGTCTTTAAATCACAGCAACCCCGTCCTGCCAGTAAAAGCAAACAGTGTAACTGCACACACAAAACGTGCCAACAACGGGAAACCTCAGGCCCACGAGGTCCAGCTGCTCACAGCTTGCGTCCTCACGGCAGCCTTGGGTTACCTTCTGAGGATCACAGCCCAGAGGGAGCATGTCTGTCTACGTACACGCCAGCCCCCCCCCCCCCCCCCCCCCCGCTGCAGAAGCCCCCAAGGCCCGGCCCCGCCAACACACACCTGAGCACCCCAGCCCGCACGCGCTCGCAGGGCTGGCTGCCTTGGCCCGGAGAAGGGCGCCTGCTGTGAGGCTGCCCCTGGGGCTCCGGCAGAAGCCCACTTGTCCGTTTATGGGGAAAACCCAGTCTGCACCGAGGCCTTGTTCAGGGCCCGGCTCCGTGCTAAGTTCTCACTCACTCCTCTGCCGAGTTCGCGATATCCCAGCAGGCGGCAGGCACCAGTCACAGGGGAAGGGCCCTGCCACCGCGGCTCGCCCTCCCGGAGGGGGCGACAGTAAGCTGCGCTGGGTGGAGGGAGGGTCCCCTGCAGCAGGCACGGGCCAGCCTGCACAGTTCCCACCGAGTGCCTGCACAGCCTGCCGTGCGCTAATTCATAATAAACAGCCTTGCTTTACAACTGCAAGTCCATGGAGTTGGGGGCTTTGTACCGCCACCCCCCCAAGGCACACCAACCCTGCCTATGACCAGTGGGGGGAGTAACGGAGTAGGAACACGGGCTCCCCTAGATGCTCCCTGGTTCCGAGGTGCTCCTCAGATTCCGAAGCAGTGTCATCTGGGGCCCGTGACTCGTCACTAGCAACTGCACCCTGTCTGAACGCCAGCATCGCCACTGCACGTTAGAAGGTGATAAGCACTAAGGCAGAAAGGGAGAGAGGCCAGCCTGCCGGTCTCCTAAAAACTTTCAGTCTTTTCTTGGCCAACAACAGTCTCCTTCATTTCTTGCCAATTACATCAAAGCATTCACAGGATACAATAATCTCTAACTCACTGAAAAGTGCTGTGACAATAGTACCATCAATAGCAATCCTAAAAACAAACCTCAACTCTTTTTCTAAAAGTTTTACTTTTCTAGGAATAAAGAAAATGAATAAATTTACGACTGCCACTGTCTCCACGGAAACCGCACACTCACTTTCTTCTTCATCAGGCACGGCAGGTGCTCGGGAGCACGGGCTGCGGGGAACAGGGCCTCATCAACATGTGCGCCCTCGGTCCTGCACCTGTGGAATGAGGAAGCAGAGTCCCTGATGAGCGTTTCCTGTGCGAGTCCCGCCACCCGACACCTGTGTGTGCCGGCCAGGGACTGAAGAAATCCAAGCGCAGGCCACTGGAATAGACAGTTTTCAAAGTGAGTACACGGACGACCTAATATGATAATCAACGGCAATCCAACTTTCCAAAGTCTTCAGCACCCAGTGTTTTGAAGGATCAGAGTGGGGGCGAGCAGCACAGAAAGGGAGCATCTTTCCTGCACCACTTCTAGATTCGCAGCGCGTCCCAGAACGACCAGCGCGTGCTCGGGAAGGCACGCACACCAGCCTCGGATGGGCACTGCAGTCAAACGGGCCGCCACGTGGGTCCCTCTGAGCGGGCGGGGTCCTGAAGACCTGGCGGACGGAGAGTGCCTTTCCCCTCCAAAACCAGGTCCCCCCATCTTTCTGCCCAGGCCCCATGGCCCTGGGGCCACGGCACCTCCCGCCACTCCGAGCTGCGCCCCCCCAGCCTGCCTGTCACCGCGTCACTGCCACTCTCAGCGCGCTGCCCCTTCCCCTCCCGCACAGCAAAGCCTCGCTCCGATCTCACAGCCACAGGGGCCTCCTGCTCGGGCTCCTGCTCGAGGCCTCCCCTCGCATTCCTGCGTGGCGGAAACACTGACCGCGCTGCGCTTCGCTCATCCCTTCCCAGATCGAAACCTCATCGCTCCCATCTTCACAGAAGAGCGTCTGCTGACCGCGTTCTGACTGTGTTTCAGACTATCAGCGCTCAAAATCCAGCACGCAAGTGCCAGGTGAAAATGTAACTAAAATACGGTCAAGAAAATGGGACAAATGACGCCCCTATCGCTAGAGAAAGCTCCCTAAGACACCGAAGGAGCGCACAGCCATTTCTGGGTGCGCGGGCGGGCGCAGCATGGCCCACACAGTGTCTGTCGTGGTAAAAGCGTCAGGCGGGGAGGTTGCACAGCAAGCGGACCCTTGAACCCCTCTGAGAGCATGTGAGTGAAAACGGTTTCCTCTGCCGCACGGGGAGACACTCCCTGCTTTTCACCCCGCTCCGAGCGCACCTTGCCGTTTGTGCTGGCTGGCCGTGCTGTGCCCACACCCTGCCCACAGGGGCGGCACGGTGAACTGTCCCCTACGAGAGCAACGAGGTGTGCATCGACGGCTAAACGGACAAAGTGTGACACAGCCCTGACAGGCATGGCTCAGTCGGCTCGGCATCGTCCTGCAAAGGGTCACCGGTTCAGCTCCCGGACCAGGCACATGCCTGGGTTGCGGGTTCGGTCCTCGGTCAGGGTGCACACAAGAGGCAGCTGTCCTATGTCTCACATCAATGTTTCTGTCCCTCTCTTTTTCCCTCCCTTCCCTTCTTCTGTTTAGGCAGAAGCATGACAGATACACAGCAAATTACTATGAAGCCAAAACTGCCCCGAAATCTTGTCACAGCACAGATGGACCTGGAGGGCATCACGCTGAGTGGAGTCAGACAGAGAAAGACGGTAAGTGCCCCGTCCGAGGCCCGCTTCCCCTCCCGCAGTCTCGTTTGTCGCGAGACACACCCTCCATCCAGTGTGTCCACATGGCAGCCCTCGGCCCACTGGTCACCCAGGAGCCGCCAGCGGTCGCACCGCCTGCTGTGGAATCGCAGTGTCGCTGCCCACGAGCCCCTTCTCCCTCAAGAGCCGAGGACAGCACTTGCCACTGGAAGCTGGGGGGCCGCCCCCCCCACCCTCAGGACAGGCCCTCCACCGAACCGGGGGCCAGGGCTGTGCCTGCGCCAACGCCACCCGAGGCCACCACCCATCCCCCGACCCGCCCAAAAGTCCATGCAGCACCAGCGTGTCCCGCCCCGTGGCACCTCTGGGGAGATGCCAGCTCTGAGGCCACACTCCACACAGGAGGGCCCACATCACATCCACCCCCTCGGCACAGGAGGCACCGAGGGGGCCGCAAAGGGTCAGCAAGCCCCGCTCGGGAGCACAGGCACAAAGACGAATCCCAGCTGGGCAGCGGGCGTGGGCCCCCGCCGTGGCAGCCACAGGCCGAGGGCTCCGCTGCAATCAGCCTGCCCGCGGCTCCCGTGCCAGCCCTCGAAGAGGAGCCCTACTTGCACAGGCAGGGACCCGCACACGCATACTCGTATGACACCTAAGTGAGAGAAGATGGTCAGCAGCGTCGTCTGAAGGCCCCGCCCCTCCAAAAGCCGCATCAGCCAAGGTGGCAGCACACGTGCCCCCCCCACCCCGGTGACCCGCTGACACCGGAGCACCACAGCGGGCGCAGGAAGAACCTGCCACCGCCGGCAGGGTGCCAGACAGCCCCAAACCGGGGACACCACACCGCTCCCGCGCCCTGCAACGCTGGCCATGGCACGGAGGCCCGGGGAAGCTGGAGCGGCCCCGCCGTGCGCCGCGGTACCCCGGAGCGGGCTGCTGCGGACGCTGACAGGACCCGCTGGGGGCCCTCACGGGTGGCCGTGCCGGGGTGACGCAAGAAGGTGCGCTTGTCCGTGGAACACAGGAGAGGCAGGGGGCCGGGCACCCGGGCAGCCAGGCCTCTCAGTGGGCAAAAGCCAACCCGTGAGCTGCGCTGCAGGCTAAGCTGTAGTTTAGAAACGGTCTCGACAATGAAACTTATCAACTTCTCTCAACAGAACTTAGAGGTGACAGTCAAGCTGCCCTTGATGCCTTTCAGCTGTCTTTCTTTCTTCAGGACGAAAGCGTCTACTGTCCAAAGACAGAATTTGATCAGCTGTTAACACAGTAGTCGGCTCTGAAGAAAACGCCCGGAAACAATCCGACAAAGTGGGATTCCAGTGACACCTAGTGGCCTTTCCTGGTAAGGCTCACATGTTCAGGGCGAACCAGGAGCCGAGGCCGGCACCGCAGCTAACAGAAGAACAGACATGCCACAAACTACAGGCCAGCTTGGCTGTCATCTCTGAGACCTGGTGAAGACAGTTCAAGCTCACCAAAAAAAAAAAAAAAATCAAGGACATGGGAATAAAATCGATTGTGTTTTTTCACCTGCAAAGTAGAAAAGATAAAGATAACTCGCAGTGGGAAACGTGTTCTTTCTCATCGCTAGAAGGGGATGGGAATTGGCACACTTTCCCAGGAGGCACTCCGACAGCATCCACCATAAACGTAAAGCTGCGAGCCCCCACACTCAAAAGTCCACTTTTGGAATTTACACCGACAGAAAGATCTACACCTGCAAGAAAGTGATGCACACACAGACTCCACGTCGCACTGTTCCTGATTGGAAAGACAAAGACGACGTGAAAAGCTTCAAACGGATGAGCAGCACTTCAGTTCCATAAATCACTGGGTGGCTACTACAAGATTCCATATGTTTAAAACAATGAGATCTCTCTCTATGCACAAATGTGGGAGATGCCCTCGAACATACTGTTAACTGAAAAAGTGTGCATTCCATAAAAGACCTACTCATTAACATGGGTTTATGTAGAATACAAACACAGAAATGTCCGTGTGCACATCAATTATACGCTTAGAAAAAGTACCTAATTCTCAGTGGTACGTTTCCCTCAACCAAGGGGAAGAACAAGAAGGCAAGAGGTGGACTAGATGAGGACTTTACACCTTAACAATATATACACGTTCAAGTACAAATACTTTTAATTCAGCATAAAGTTTATGTTTTCAAGAGAGCAACAGAAAACCTAAAACTCAGTAATTGTAATGATAATTAAAATCCGAATGTATTACAACAAACGCTACTAAGCAACAAAAGGGGCTTGCATTAAAAATTTCAATTACGTTCACTGTAAAGGGACCTCAGAGGTTGCCTGTGGGTAACCTTCCAAGTATTTTAGAGTTTCCACAAGCCCATCGAGAAACGGGGCAAAGTGGGGGCAGACAGAGAAAGGGGAGAAAAAGGGGAGGAAAGGACTTAGGGGACAGGCCAGCAGATAAAGGCAGGAGAGAAGTCGGGGTGAGCGGCCTCGTGAGGCACACAAAGTCCTGTCACGTCACAGTTTTATAAAAGCGTCTCCGTTAACTCCCAGCTTTCAGTAAAGGTCTGTTTTTCTGTACCCTCCCTGCTCCACATTCCCGTACAGCCTTTTACAGGTAGCTCAAGTCCCTCCCCTAGGAAATGTTCTCTGCTGTCTATAAGCCAATGTAAGCAGAGCGTCCTCTGTTCATGAGTGGTAGCGACAAATATTTACTGTGCACCTACTATGGGCCAGGAGTGTGTCAGCTACCTCAGCGGGAACACACCATGGAACAGGACAAACATGGTGGCACTTAGAGTTTACGCTGCAACAGAAAGACTAACATCCGTGATGGCGTGGACAGGTCGACAGACAGAGGCGACAAATAAAGTTGGTTTTAATAGCATGAAAAGGAAGGAGTGGGGACAAGCATGACGAACAGGGCTCTATTGCAGACTCGGGACGGAGAGAGCACTTCTGGGAGGGCAACCCCTCCCGTGCGAGACGTGGAAGGAGCCGAGGAGAGGCGGGCAAGGGGCGGGGAGGGAGGGACCGCAGGGCCCAGGGCCTGTGGAAGGGACAATGTCCGCAATGCAGCCCTGAGTTACGCAGCAGGCGAGGGGCCAGGGACACGTGACGCCTTCTCAGGGAGACACAACCAACAGATGCCACTCTGGATAAGCTGGTGACGGCATGACCAGAGATGGCAGTTAAAGAGCCACTGTGGCCGCACTCTGCGAGGGGCTGGAGGATGGGAAAGCAGAGACAGGAGATCTCGGCTGAGAAGCAAAACGTGCTTGCGTAAGAAAGAACCAAGTGGAAAGGTTACAACTGAAACTGCCCAAAATAAGTACTACGGGAATGGAGTTGACAGAGAAGAGTCAATAAACTTGAAGAAAGAGCCAGACAACCAACAAAAGCCAGGCCTCGGGGCCCGCGGGAAACACGGAGGCTGGTTCACAGGGGGCCCAGCGCCCCCCGCAGGCTCCATCAGGGGCTTGATCCCGGAGCCTCAGCCTCACTTCCCCAGGGCTCCCTCCACACCCTAGAGCTAAGAGGTTCAATGAAGACCACGTGCGTCTGTCCCTTCACGGAAAGGAAGCGGACATTCCTGCTGCGCAGCTAATCAGAGTGCCGGCGAAAAGAGGGAGAGTGGGGCAGAAAAGCCATCTGAAGAAATAATGGCCCAAAACAAAGAATTTATACATTCAAAAACCTCAGCGAAGTCTTCACAGAGTAAGCTTAAAAACACTTAAGTTAAACTTCTAAACCAAAGATAAGAAGAAAAATCTGAAAGAAGCCAGAGAAAAAGGACCCATTACTTACGACAGAGAAATGACTGGAATGACCACGGGCATTGCGTCGCACAAGAGGACAAAAGACGTGGAAAAACCACAGGTAACCAGGAATTGCACACCCACTGAAAATATCATCCACACATGACCACAGGATAAGGACATTTTCAGATAAGGAAAAACCTAAGGAAATGTGTTCTCATCTGATTAAAAGAAATGCTACACTAACAGAATTGAAGCCAGAAATAAACAATTTAACAAGACTCCAATTCGCCACTCAGTAATTGACAGCACAACCGAATAGATCAAGGACACAGAAAACTTAAAAAATTTAGACCAACTACTGCAGATGCAACACAATCCCTATCAGATCTCAGTTGACATGCTGACAAAGAGAAGGGGACACGGTCTGTCCACACCTTGGACAGCACTGTCCGGCCACTCAGGGGCGCAGCGCTGACCCGGGGCGCAACACGGTGGGACCCTCACATGGTGGGCTGGGGGGAGCCGACAGAGAGGGCCTCCCAGGACCCTGCTTCTGCGCGGTGTCCAGAGCAGCACGTTCAGAGACAGAGGGCAGGTCAGCAGTTGCCGGGGCAGGTGTGGGGCAATGGAGAGTGACCGCTGATGGCTACAGAGCCCATTGTGGGGGCGCTGAAATGTTCTCGAATTAGATAGCAGCGGTTACAAATCTCTGTGAATAGACCGTACTGATGTATAATCGACGTGCACACGGACATTTCTGTGTTTGTATTCTACGTAAACCCATGTTAATGAGTAGGCCTTTTATGGAATGCACACTTTTCCAGTTAACAGTATGTTCGAGGGCATCTCCCACCCTCCCACTTGTGCAGAGAGAGAGATCTCATTGTTTTAAACATGGGTTTAAGACCGTAAAACCAGGTGGGCTTTATGTAAATCTTGTCTTCATTTTTAAAAAATGCTAAATGTAATTATTCACATTGAAAGGAAACACCAGAGGAAACTCAGATTTTCAAAAATGAATGAAGAGCAACAGAAACAGTAATATAAATATGAGACACTACTTTTTCTCTTATTTAAAATACAGATGCCCTTTTAAACACTGTTCTGTGGGAGCCGAGCGCACACAATGTAACACGTGACATAAAGCACGGTGCGGCAGAGCCCAGGGGCGCACATGATACCAGGCTTCTGTACTATTTTATGTGAGGTGGGGCAATAGCACGTCTAAGCAGACTTGAGAAAGTTAAGGATATCGGAATCCCTATAGCGAGCATGACAGCTGAATAAATAAAAACAACAGAAAGAGTTTTGATTACAACAGGGAAGGATCAGGATGAAACCCCCTCCCACTTCCTGATTGCACCCCGCGCCGCGTCTCAGGGCCAAGGCCTGTTCCCCCGGCTGGTGAGGGACCCCACCGTCGCCAGCTCTCAGCTGTGGAAACGGAAGCTTGAGGATGTTAAACGCCTTGTCCAAGGAAGCAGCAGAGAAAAGATGGACTCAAACACTATCTGGTTCCATGACCCATGCAAAATATGTGGCCATACTGTACCAATACTAGATATTTAAAGATAAAAATGAGGCCCTGTCCAGGTAATTCAGTTGGTTAAGAGCATCATCGTGCTACGCCAAAGTGGCAGGTTCGAACCCTGGTCAGGGCACATATAAAAAACAGCTGATGAATGCCTAAATAAGTGGAACAAGAAAATGATGTTTCTCTCTCTAAAATCAGTAGTTAAAAAAAGAAGAAAACCTAGAGAGAAGCGACTTACTTCTCCACCCAGAGCACTGAAACGAGCTTCACGCCTCTCGCCTGCGCTTTGTCCCAAGTGCGCTGGTACCCGTCCTTGAACACGACGTGAGTCACTTGTTTGTTAAAAGTTTTTGAAACCTGTAGATAAAGGGCAAATATTTTTTTAAAAAGTCAATTACTATTTGCACATAATTTCATAAAATTATAAGCAAGTGCTACTCATGGACACACGTACAAAATAAGCAACAAAACATTAGCAAACTGCATCGACCTATAAAAAAGGGTAAAACAGGGTGGGGCAAAGTAGGCTTACAGCTATTCATGTGAAAATATTACAATAATCAGTAAGGTATAATGCAAGAATAAACTGCTACACGCACTCACTACCGCAAACCCCCTTGTGCCCGCCCCGCCCCGCCCCACCACTTGAATTGATTCCAAGGCTGCAAAGTTGGTTGACATTAAAAAGCAGTACTTGTTATTCACCGCATTAATAAAGTAAAAAATCATTACGATCATCTCAATACGTGCATAAAACACATTTGATAAAATTAAAAAGTTTATCCATGAGAACAATTCTTAGCACATGTGGACCTCAAAGTTGGTACAAAGTGCATTAGGGGAAATGCGTGCAGCTTTCCTTTGACGAGAGGATGCAGACATGGTGCTTGATGGCTCCGTTCTCTTCGCTGGCCCCCACCAGTGAAGCGTGTGAGGAAATAAAAGCTGTTAGGACTGGAAAAAACAAAACTGTCTTGTGTGCATATGATTCAACTGCGTACATTTTTAAAAATCTCCAAAATACCAAAGAACTCATAAATGACTTTGGTGACTCTTCTGGACACAAGGTGGGCCTGAAAAACTGCTGCTGACTCCTCCAGACCAGCAGCAGTTAGCAAAGGAATCCTAGACATACTGTTTATAATAGTATCAAAAAGAACCCCAGGAAACTACAAAACATTATTGAAATAAATTTTAAAAACCAAAATCAATGAGGGCACATATCATGTTCGTGGCTTGGAAAATTCAATTCTGTAAAAATGTCTGTTCTCTCTATACTGATCTATTGTCATCAGTCCAATTCCAATCAAAGTCCTAAAATGCTCTATGCTATAAATTGACAAGCTGATTCTAAAATGCATTTGGAAGGGTGAAAGGTCAAAAATGGCCAGAATACTTTGAAGAACGGAGAAGGCAGTGTATGAAAATTTATTATGACGCTCAATTAAGACAGGGTTCGTCATGAGGCAGAGCATGCGGACACTGAAACACCGTTACCTGACCGATGACAACGGTAATATTGCGGAGCTTGGCTCATGGACGATCTTTTCAATGGTGTTGCGCAAAATGATCATTCCCATAGAAAAAAGTGAAATTACTTTATACCATACATGAACACCAATTCCAGATACACTATAAATCTAAATGTGGAAGGCGAAATGGGAAAACTTCCAGAAATAAGAGGAGAAAAACCTTTTTAACCTTGGTATAGGAAGAGACGTATTTAAACAAGACACACAACAAAACGCCCTCACACTGAAGGGAAAAACGACATGAAGCCCTCCCCCAAGTCCCCCCACAAACACGTCGCTTACCGCTGACCTCCCTGACAGCAGTCTACAGTCACCACTTCTGCTCCCCGAATCTCAACTGTCCTCGAAAGAGCCCCCTAAGAAGACAAGCCGCACCAGAGCGACAGGATCTCTGAGCGCGCCTGTGTGGCTCCACGATCCCCCCCCCGCCCCCCGGGGCCACCTCATCCCCTAGCCCGTCCCTGCAACGCGCCACTGGGCTCAACGGCGACCTCGCAGCCATCCAACCGGAGGTGCACTCGCCATCCCAACTTTCCCGAAGAGTCTGCAGCGTTTTAAAATCCCACCACTGGAGTGCGAACGTCCCTCCACTTCTAGGCTAGTTTTCCGGATTCTCCTGACATTCTTCTTTCTCTCTCTCCCTGGGCCCATCCTCCCCACCCCCGACCCTGTTATCAGCCCTTGAAATACTAACTAGGGTCCCCCTTCAGCACTCTTCCCTCTAACCACCTAAGCCCTAGATTCTTGACCCCTAACACCATGTCTCTAGCCTTGATGACAGGTTCCAGATTTGTGTATGTAAGTCTCTCAGATGTTTCCAATGCCCCCACTTCCCAAGCCTTCCCTTAAACACCCGCTCCTTCCTTGTATTCCTCCCTTGGCACCTGCATCCGAGTGACCCACGGCAGGACCATGTTTTCATCCTCGAGGTCTCCTTCTCCCTCAAGAGCACAAGACCAGCTGTCCCGTAAATCCTACTGGGCCGAATCCTTCGTATCGTGGGTTTCTTCTTTTTCCTCCTGCCACTTATCCACTGTCTTCTTTTCCCTTCATGTTCTAAGTAATAACTCCCCAAATAAGAAAATGCAGATACATCTCATTATGTACCAGAGGACTGTCAAAATGTAGCAACGGTGAGATGGATTTCTTACATGTGGCAATGGTGAGACGGATTCCTTACTCACAGGTAGCGACGGAGAGATGGATTTCTTACCTTTGCCCCCATCTCCACAAGTTGATTTGTAAATGTCTTTGAATAATTTTCTGTTCCATTGGCTGACCACACTTCAACATAAGCCACTACATCTGAAAATAAACACAGTATTAACATTAAATATATTGAAATTCCAGCATCCCTAGCCCAAAGACTTCAATACATTTTTCTCTCGTTATTTTTACATTAAAAAATAAATTTAAAATTTCTTCTATTACAAGCCTATTCAAAATAGCATCTGTGCTATTATGGTTCTTCAAATTTCAAACAAAGACCAACTTCGCACATACACAGGTCACAGTTTACATTACTAACACTAGACGCCCTTCCCAAATTCCTAAACCAGGCTTAACCTTCCTAGGACAAGAGTCTGCTTTCTGTAAAGGACCTGACAATAAATGTGTGCTGCAGGCTTTGAGAGCCACACCACCAGTCACGGCACAAAGGAAAGGCAGCCAAAGAGAACACTTAGTGAGTGAGCTCAGCTGTGTTCCAGTAAGACTTCGCAGACAACAAAGTTTCGATATCATTTTCACTTGCCATTCTTCTTCTGGTGCCCACCCCCCAATTAAAAAAAGTCAAAAACAGCCTTAGCTTGCAGGTCCTACAAAAATAGGCAGCGGACTGAATAGGGGGGTGGGGGCAGCGTCTGAAGACCCCTGTTCTGGAGGCTTCCTCTCAAAATCTAGCGCTTTCCAAGAACCCCCAGGTGTGCCACTCTAACTGTGAGCAAAGCAAAAGGGGCCGCGCCGGTTTAGTAAAACACTAACACTGGAAAAGCAGCCACACGCGACTGGAGCTTGTGTAAAGCCTTAGTCTCCCCTTCTGACTCTGCGGTCTGCACCCTAGGCCCCTCGATGCAGATCCCACTACGCGCCACCCCTTCCCTCCAACTCCCTGTCCACGGGTCCCCTCCTCTCAGCAATTCCAGGTGCCCAGGTGAACAGCCTCATCCCTGAGCAGGCTCAGGTGCTCCGATCACCTCTGCGCTGACCAGCTCTGGGAGCGGGGGAAAGTCCCTACAAAGCTCCGTGCCTTGGTTTCCCCACCTGCAAAGCGAAGTAAAACCGAGTTGCTGGGGCTATTAAAATTAAGACAGTATTAATCAAGCCTTTAATAAAATTCCTGGACACAATTCCGCAATGAGGGGTCCCTGCTGTTGTCATAACAACAAACAAGCCCACGAACGCAGCAGGGAATCTGCTTTTCCTAATCTCACAATCAATCGCGCGCCCCTAGAGTCACCTGGCCCCGCAACCCGCGCGGGCACTTGGGAGAAATCCGAAAAGCAGCCGCTCCTCGGGCTCCCCGGACCCACCGCCAGCACCGCCCGCCTCCCCCAGCCCAGGGGGCGCAGCCACGGTGCCGGACTCGCGGACAGCCGCCACCCCGCACATGGAGCCAGGCTGACTTCCGGGGCTCCGGAGACTCCCCGCGCGCGCCCACCAGCCCTGTCCTGCCGCTCCGCACGTGCTCCCCGGGAGAACGCGTCCTCACCTTTCAGAACCGATCCCCGGGGGGTCCCCGGCTCCGCCATGAGAGGCGGAGGGAACCGCACCACCGCGCCGAGCGGAGCTGGACTTGGCAGACCCGCCGAGCGGCACCGAGCATGCGCAGGACCGGCGCGCCGCTCCCCTCCGCCCCGCGGGAATCCGCTCCTCCGCGTTTTCTCGGCTGCCGGAGGGGGAGCCGCGCAGACCCTCCGGGCGACCCAATGAGAGGGGGCGAGTCTTGAGCGGGCGCGGGCGCGAACTCGCCCTGCGTGGACACTGGGGTCCGCGTCCCGCCCCGCGAGGCCTGCTCTCTGTCCTCCCGTTCGTTACGAGGACGGACGGCCCCTAAAAACCAAGCCCAGCCCTTTTGTCCCCATAGGCGACTTAAATGCTCTCGGCGCCTCACCTGGGCTCACCTGGGAGCGGGGCAGGGGTGGCCGCGTCAGCTCGCGGGGTCCCCAGGGTGTAACTGCTCAGAATCCTTGTCAGCTCTGCGCCCCGCGCTCCCGAGCGCCGCCCTGTCGTCCGCGCACGGAAGGACCGCTCAGAGGGAAGCCCGGGAGGCCGGCGCGGGCGGTGGCCCCGGACAGCGGCTCCGCTCGGTCCCCTCGCCGCGGCCTCCCCTGAGTTCTGCAGCTCGCAAATCCCGGAGCGGATTTAACTTGGCCGGACCGGGCAAGCCCCGCGCTGGGGAGCAGCAAGGGCCTCGCTGCGTTCTGAGGGTCCCTGCTTCAAAACTCGCGCCCGCGGAGCCCCGCCCACGCCGGGCAGGGCGCAGGCGCCGGCCCCGCCCCGAGGCTGCGCGCGCGCGCACGTCCGCCGGGAGTGCACACGTGGGGGCTGCCTGGGCGGGTCTTGCTTATTTGTCCACAGAAGTTCTGCGTTTGATGTCCCTAAGACCCACTATCAGCTAAAGGATCGATACCGCCTGTATTCAACAATGAACCGAAATATGTGAAGATGTTCATTTCCAATGCTTTCAGGACCATCTTTGTGTTATATCTTGTAGAGCAGATTCCATTCACTGCTCAAAGGAAAATGCGAACTTAAGAGTAAAAGGGACTCTCATAACCTAGTGGTTCAATGTAGAGGCCAGAGCGCAGACTGACAGCTGTCAGAAGGGTGGGGTTCCGGGGCTGGATGAAAAAGGTGGAGGGATTATTAAGCAAAAAGAAAAAAAAATAAAACTCATAGACAGCAGTATGCAGCACGGTGAAGGGGGTGGGAGGCGGTAGAAGAGGGTAAAAGAGGGATAAAGAGACTTAACTTGGGGTGGTGAACGCACAGTGCAGTATACAAACATGATGCATTGTAGAATTGAACACCTGAAACCTTTATCATTCAATTAACCGATGTCACCCCAATAAATTCAATAATAAAGTGCAGGAGGAAGAAGGTGGGGGGAGGGAGAAGAAGAAATAAAGGAGAAAGAACTGGATCTGGTTTGGAGGCTTGTTTCCAAACAGTTCAGAGCCACTCTCAGCTGTGAGACCTTGATGAGTCACTGAAACCCGCCCAGTTTCCTTTCTGCACCGAGAGGCCTTCACAGCAGTGCAAAGAATCGCTGACTCTCCTGGAGCACCATTTACGGGCTTCCGAAGTGTTGTCAAAGTTAATCCTACCCAGCTGGTGAGTGTGTTGAAATTAACAAGGCACTTGCATATATTTTTTCCTTCTAGATTCTCACTACAATTCTGCTATTCTAGAGGTATTTATTATGGTCACCTGCAGACTCACCGTGGCCACCTTCCTCCCACAACTCTCTGACAAGGGAAGGCTTTCTTTCATTTTATATTTTGTATCATTTGATGCTCACAGGATCCATTTCATAGCAAATGGGATTATGAACATTATAAATACAACTATTATATAAATGTGTAAGTATGATCTGAGTCATACTGTTAAGCAACACAAATTCATCCAAGAAAATTTTAAAGATCTAACTGTGAATCCGGCAGCATCCCATCCAGCAAGGAGAAAGGAGCTCTTGGGAGCTACAGAAATGGGAAGGGTTTTAAACGCACAGAGGGGGCAGGACAAGGAAACCAATTTTTTAGAAAAGGATTATTTCAGGCAAGGTCACCTTCCTTTGGGGAACAATTGGGACTGTTAGGAGAATTAGCTCATTGGTGCTGACCAGGAAATTCCGGACTGGCTGCCTGAGATTACAGTCCTGGGGAAGGCTGGAACTGTAATTAAGTTAAGTGTTAAGCTGTGGTTTTCAGATGCAGGATTTAGCACAAACGACTGCATTTTGGGCCTGTTGATACTGTTTAAACATGAACCAAAAATGGGGCTCCCTTGGCAAGCCAGACAAACTCAGTAACTGAAAGTACCTGAGGATGAAACACAGGATGTTTACACCCTAAAAAATTCCTAACTGAGCAGGTTATGATGGGGAGCCACATCCTAAAGCCTGTATGGTAGATTAATCTTTACTTTGAGAAAGCTCTGTTCACTGTTTTTGTATAGTTAGACTAACATCCTTAAAATCTCAGAACGATCTCTTCTTTAGACCTCCGGAGATGAATGCCACTGGTACCGGGGTGAGGTGACCCCAATGTTCCTCATCGTTACCTTTACCTGCATATGGTAAATGTTAACTACCCTGCACCTGCCAATATAAATGAAATGCGTATCTTTCCATTTTTATTCAGTCCTATAGACTTCCCTGCTTTATTTTCTCCCTCCTCCTTAATCTGCCACCAGTGGATTTCAGGTATCTTCCTTACATCTTCTCCTTTGACCCTAATGTGTAAAAGAAACTGCAAAACCCCGATTTTCCCTGGAGCATTTTCTCAATCCTTTGAGATTTTGCTTCTGGCACTGGCCCCTTAGCCTTGTCTCCAATAAATGCTTTACACTGTTCTTTAGGTTTGAAATTTCTTCCGTGGACATGACAACACACATTAAGTAATCAGGTTCAAGGGAGGCTCCCTGAGGAGAGCAAGCGAACACAGCCAGTAGCTGATGGTGCAGCAGGAGCTGGCTCACCAAGGGGAACTTTGGACAGCAGCAGACAAAGGGAGGACATCAAGTGGAGGCTGGAGTTGCGTCACTACGCACAGCTCCAGCCTCCAGGGAGCTGTCAGGAGCCGGGAGAGACACCTGACTCAGCTCCTTCCCTCTTGCCTGCAAAGGGAGCACAGCCCTGCCAACGCCTTGACCTCAAACTTCTGTTCCTAAGAACAGCCGGACAATAAACTTCTGTTGTTCAAGCCACTTAGTTGGCGTTGTCTTATTATGGCAGCTCCATTCCTGTCTCGATGTGAGAAACAAAGGGCAAAAAAAAAATAATGTCTGCACATGCATGTAAAAAATGTATCTTAATTTTTCCTATGAACAATATGGAGACAGTTAGTGAAATTTGGAAAAGCCCTTAGATTAGTTAATAGTATAAATGTTAACTCCCGGCTTTTGATCATTGTTGTGGGGTTATTTAAGAAAAGGCCTTGCTTTGGAGAAATATGCACCGAGGTGTTTTAGTGGTGAAAGAACATCCGTCTGCAACTTCCTTTCAAATATTTCAGGCTAAAAATATGTGGACATACACACTCATTTGTATACATAGAAAGAGGACAATAAAACAGATGTGGTAAAATACTAACATTTCAGAAACCTGAGTGAGTGGCTTGTGGAAATTCTTTGTACTATTTTTGCACCTTTTTCTATAAGCCTGAAATTCTTGCCAGGTAAAAAAGTAAAAAAATTATGGCAGGAGCCCTGGCTGGTGGGGCTCAGTGGACTGAGTGCCGGCTTGTGAAGCAAGGGGTCACCGGTTGGATTCCCAGTCAGGGCACAGACCTGGGTTGCAGGCCAGGTCTCCCGTAGGGGGCGCGTGAGAGGCAACCACACATGGATATTTCCCTCACTTTCTCCCACTCTTACCCTTTCTCTAAAAATAAATAAATAAAATCTTTTAAAAAAAATTATAGCAGGAACATGGGCTAGGCCTCAATGAACCCTCGGGTCCAAAGCTCTCAGGCGGAAGGCGAACCCTGGCGGCAGGTGAGTGGTGGGCTCGTGGCGGACCTGTTCTCATTACGCCCGAGGTGACAGCAAGTAAGGGGTTTACAAAGAGACAGCACGAAGTCAATGTCATCATCTAACACATCCTACCCCGTCAAGAGAAATGCAGTTTCTGCTATCCCAGCGACCTTCAACCAGTGTGCCGGAATAATTTGAGAACATGCAACACCTGACTATTAGTCAGGGGCACTGATCTCTTTTCCCTTAGATTATCAATAAAATAATGACAACAGCCAACACAACAGTAGCCATCCGGTGTGAATGAATCAAAAGTATACCTTTTCATCAGATTGGCAAACAATACATATTTTTTGCTGTGCCATGGAATTTTAATAGTTTACGTGTGCCACGAGATGAGCAAGGTTGAAAAATCACTGTGCTATACAATTTTTAATCATTTCTGTTAAGGATGGGATGATTTAAAGACAGGATTCTAATGTCTAGGCAAATACTGCTATTAAATACTAGACTAAAAGGTAACCTTATTCCTTATTTAAACAGGAAAGATATTTACTCTGCCCAGAATAGACTTTCAAGTGTAAAGGTGTTTTGATTTTGTGCTACTCGAAGAGCAGTTTCAGAGCTGGAATAAAATATCTTGTTTTGTTTTGTTTTTTTTTTAATTTAAAAAAGAAGAGGTTTGACCAAGCAACAACATATTGAAAAAGACTCATCTCTCACACACATACACAAATACTAACTTTAAATGATGTTATCGTCCAATTCAAAATGGTTGTTTAGCGATTAGAGAAATAAGGTTACCGGCACAAAATCACAGAGCCATTGAAACTAACATCAGCCCTGGAACGCAGGTCTCTGGGCATTGGGGTCCAGTCTGCTCAGTTTTTTCCTTGTCTATACCTTTCACATTCATTGATCGCCCACTTCCTTTGCACCATGAACTGGTGTATTTAAATATGTGGTAATAACCTTTACTCACCTGCTTCACTACTCTTCAGATCAGACAGAATCCATCTATCATTGTAGCTGAGGACTACACAGCTCATTATTAAGAGCAAAGTTAATTAAATTAATGAGTTCAAAGAAACTCAACCTTTGCACTAATACACTCTAGTTTGATTT